CAAGTGCAAGGATTCAGTATCCATATCGTGTACAGAATGCAAAGGAATGGATTTGCCATTTGTACAATTCACTAAAAATGGCCACCCATTCCGACAAGCGACCGTGAGAAACTCCGGATTGCTTATAAGAACAAAATACCTACAAATCAACGATTTCAGGTCGAACGTTGAAACGACGAGTAGTACGCCCGGCATCATCTACAATCCGTTTCGCCCCATCGGAATCCCGCGAATCGTCGAATCCCCGTCGAAAAGGAAAAAGAAAAATCGAATCAAACCGTGCGAAAAATACAAAACTTGATAAACGATGTTTCATCGACGTCGTCACGCCCATCATTCTCCGCCTCCACCTCCTCCTACTCCTTCTAGGAATGAAAATGATGACGAAGTCAACCCCCCTCCCCCCCCAAAAAAAAGGTAAGTCCTGTAAGTGTTGGGGAAAGATCCCCATCATTCGTATTCCCACATATTCTTTTAGCCTTTTTTTATATCCGACAGGAAATTTTTTTTTCTTTTTTTCATTTATTGACATCATCGTCGGTGCACCATCAACACAACCATGACCTTTACAAATTCAGGAGCAAGAGAGAGACAGAAAGAGACAGAAAGAGAAAGAGAGAGAAAAACAACAACTCACTTGATAAGACTTAATGTATCTTTGTACATGGTGAAGGCTGCTTTTTCCGTTACTTTTTCATGCTCCATCGCATTTCCGGTTAGTAAAAAATACAAAACAGCTTCCAAATATTGCATTCCTTGAGCCGTCCTATCCGTTTCTATATCTGCTTTGTGTTTTAACCTTTTAGCTTCGTTCAAATATTGATTTTTATCCCTGGAGAAAAACAAAAAAGGAAATTAGTCGATGACGTCACAATTCGTAATAAACGCGGTTTGGAATTTGACGGATGTACCGATTGACCGTTCCGTCGTTAAGAATGAATATTATTTTATGTTTACGTGTCGTCCACGTGTCTTTGTATTTTTGGAGAAGAAGCAGAAGAAAAAAAAAAATTGGTGTATTAATACGAATGTAAAATTTGTTTTATTATATCCCGGGTAATTTGGTACTCGATGGATTTTTTTTTTAATCATTTACCACATATAAGAGGACAAACACGCGAGAAACACAAAGACGAGGCATTTTATAGCGAAATTTTAAAAGCATTTGTTTTTAAAACTCACTTGTCGTTGCTATCCGTTTCTTCTTCTTCTCTTTCGAAATAGGAATAATATATTTTTCTCATTCGTCCCGGTGACCAATCCGAGTGAAGTTCGCCATTTTCATTTCTGTCGTAGGCATTGACGACGGAAGGAGTTCCGTGTGACGGATCCGAATTTTGTTTTCCATCCATATGATGATTTTCCGAATTTGATTTCGGCGGTGCCAAATGACCGTTGGCATCTTCGTTCACGCACGTCGACGACAACCTCTCGTTCTTTGAATGTACATCACCGATCACAACATCGCTCTGTAACAATTGTCATCAATTTATTATTATTATTATTATTTCAATATTGGCTTTTTAAGAAGAAGAAGAAGAAGAACAAGTAGAAAGATACTCACGGGACTAGACTTTTTAATAATAATATTATCAGTGCTGCCACCGCATTCATCTAATTTTCTCCTTTTGTGCTTGTGATTTATGCCTTCTTTGTCTTTTCGCCGTCCGGATGACGATGAAAGCACTTCGGATTTTTGACTGCATTCCGTGCTCACGCTGCTCACGCTCGGACGCCTTTTCCTTTCTCCCTTGTGCCTCATTTTTTCCGATGATTTTTGCTTTCTCCTATCCGCGTCATTTAAATCGCACTTGTCGGGAGTTTTTTCAACGTCGCTACCCAAATCACTCGTTTTTTCTAATTTTTTCAAATCCGTATCACTAGAAATCGGAGATTGAACTCTATCGTATCTGTGCCTTTTGTTGTTTTTCTCACTTTCCTTTGACGATAATTGTTTCACCACTTTTATGTCTTCCTTTGATTTTTTCACTTTATCACATTTTGTTACTCCTCCTCCCTCCGCTAGTATTTCATCCGTCGAATAAGTCCGCTTTTTACTTTTTTCCGTCCTATTTTTATCACTCTTTAATACATCCACCACCACCACCACGTGTTTATCATCTTTTTCTTCGCACTTCAACTTATCGTACCTTTTATCACTTTTAATATCATCACTGCTAAATTTCATTTCCCCCTGCTGCCTGGTGTCCGCCATTTCCGTTTTCGTTCTAATGTCTTCGGAAGTTCGTTTTTTCAAAACTATTGAAATTCTATCTAGGTCAACGCGGCACATTATACTAGGTATGACTCCGTCACTTTTGTACCTCGACGGTGATACTTCTGGTATGCTTCTATGATTCTCGGAAATCCTATCCCTTCTTTCCGTTTTCATTTCCGATTTGATTTCTACTAAAGGCGATTTTTTAACTTCTTTTTTGTCTTTCATTTTCTTCGAATCAACCGTTAACCTTTTTTTAGAACATATAACTTCGTCTTCCTTAGCAGTCGGCGTTATTTCTGGCTGACATCGCGAGGATATCGAATGACTTGATGTTTTCGACGCATCGTCTAAACTTCTCTCAGTTCTATCCGGTTCGCATTTGACGACTATGCCTGGAACGCCCTTCCCTTTACCTCCTCCTCCTTTGCCACCTTTACCACCTTTACTACCCGTGCTAAATAATTTCATTAAAGTTTCGGTCTTCTTCCTATCTTTTATATTACCCTCGACGTCCAATTTGGGAGGACTCTCTTCCATTTTGGGAGGAGGACCTTTACCATGGCCCGCACGCAAATCATTTTTGCTGCAGTTGGAAGAAATCGAATCACGCCTGGAAGGTATTCCTGGTTCTTTTTCGGAATCCGAACTAGACAACGGACTGATTTCTCGTTTTTTAGGCGCCACATGATCCCTGCTTATTTTTAGGTGTTCCCTGCTAAAAACCGAACCGTAGCTTTCGCTTTCGCTGCTGGTATCTTCATTTTTAACGCTCTTCATTCGAGCCTTTGGTCTGATGCAATTCCTTTTGTTTTCCGTTGATTTTCCTCTTTGGCTAGACGCTGACCTATCCCGCATCCAATCTTCATCCGAAGACACATGAACCGGGATTTTCTTTTTCAATCTATCCGCCTCTTTCTTCTGTTTGGTCCTTTGAAGCTTTGGAGGCCGCTTTCTAACTTCGTCATCTTCTTCGTCGCTAGAACTGTCCGGAAGATTCTTTTGCAATACGCTACTCCTTCTCCTTCTCATAACTTTCTTAGGATTTTCACTGTCAGAAGCACTTGGAATCAATGCCGGCCTAGATTTGGGGGTAACCTTAACTTGAGACTTATTAATGTACTCATTACTCGTCATTTGATCCGACCTTCTCTTCACATCGACATATTTATTCTTCGTTTTTGATTTTATTTCCTCGTCATTTCTCTTACTGCTCTGCGATCTCCGCGCGGAATCCTTCGCTCGTTTTTCCGTTTCATTGCACTTAAAGTTATTTCTTCCGTTGAAAAGTTTTCCTTCCGATTTTTCTTCGTCGGAATCCTCTTGCAATTTCATTTGTATCCTACCACCGGTCGTCGATGAACTTTGTCTAAATTTTCTATGTTTATCATTTAGAATTGTTTCATCTTTAACCACGCGCGAATGATACTCATCATCATCGGAAGAAACGTTTTTCCTTTTGACGTCTTCGTCGGACATATTTGAAATCGCATTGGTAACTTTAGAATTTCGCCTCAAAGCCTTTCTTTTTCCCATTGGAGACTTTGATTGTCTGGAACCGCTTGGAGATCTGGAAGCACAACTTGCCACAGACGACCTAGAATTTTGCCTTCTAGCCACTCTGGGAGGAGGTTTAATTGGTTCTTTCATAATGGACCCATCGCTATCACTTTCCGACAAATCTTTTCCCATGGATTGCCTTTGCCGCTCTCCGGTTTCTATTTTACCATTTCGAACACCCTCATCGGAATCCGAACAACTGCTCAGTTTCATTTTTTGATTAGATCTTTTACGGTCTTCTTCGCTCTCCGAATCCGATTTACGCGTCGTTTTCTTTTGCTTGGCCGAACTTTTCGCGTTTGGTGCTGATGTCCGGTTTTCTAACGGACTCCTCGGTCCGCGTACGAATCCCGGACTGGGTTCAGGCACACTAGGAGGACCGACGCTACTCGGAGGACCGACGCTACTAGGATGTCCAACGCTACTCGAAGCTGGGGAAAAATCGTCTTTACCAAATCCCTTTTGAAAATAAAAAGAAAAAAAATTAATTTGAATCGAATAAAATTTTTAAAAAAATTTAAAAATAAAAAAATTCGTACCGGTGATGGCCTGGTGATGTCTTCACTTCCGCTCAACATAGGTTCTCTCTTTATAAACGAACTCAAATTCCACCTGGGTTTTGTTTCCTCTTCGACCGGAGCAACGACTGAAGTATTTTGCGTTACGGAAGTCTCTACATTTTTCGAAGAGGGCAATTCCAATTTTTTATCGTCATTTGATTCCTCGCTCGTAGATTCGGACTCGCTGTATTCAGAAGAAGACGACGAAGAAGAAAGAACCATTGGAGACATTATCGCAGGAGTCGGAGACGGAGGCTTTATAGATGCAACGCTTGGTGGCCTACAAAACAATGATGATAATAATAATAATAATAATAATAATAAAAGTAAATAAATAAATAAATAAAAAAATACAAATTTATAATTTTGCCGTTTCAAAAACCACGAAACCGGAAATAATAACGACGCAAACAATAACAATAACAACAAAAAAAAAAAAAAGGTAAAGAGAGAAAAAAAAAGGTAAAAGCCGTTAAAAAAAAAAAAAAATATGAAAAATAAAAAGAATAAGACGAAATAAATAAAAGAAAGAAATAAAGAGAGAGAGAGAAAAGAGAGAGGAGAATAATAATAATAATAATAATAATCTTTAAATCCAACGTACATTTTATAAACCGTAGAATATACATGAGTGTCTATATGTATTAGACGTTCTGAGAGAAAACTAACAAATGCGCAAGAGGGGGCAGATGTTAATTTCATAGCACACGGCGGCAGGCATGTGCCCCTAAAAATTCTTCGGGGGCAAATTAAATGTGCAACATGTTAAACAACCATCCTCGGTATGGCTTCATTTAAAATTATTATTATTATCATCATCATCATCATCATCATCATTATTACTATTAACGTTACTTTATCTAATCTCGGATTTTTTCTACCTTGTTCCTTTTTCTTCTTCTACTTTTTTTGTGTCTGTGCGTGCGTGCGTGAGTGCGTGCGTATGTGCGTCGTCCCTTCGAATTCTATGCGACATTAATCTCTTTTTTTTCTATAATTATTCTCATTCTTTGCATTCACGTCGAAAAATCGGAACCGAGCGGCGAATCGTAGAAATTAGCAAAGTAGTGAAAAATGTCGAAATCGCCATTTAAAATTTTCATCGCGTAATTTCGTTGTTGATTCGTTCCCCTCCCACACCTTCCCCCCTCTCTCTCTCTCACTGTAGCACATACGCACACTCACAAAAGTGTGATTTAGACGTACAAAAAAAAAATTTTTTCCCGTTCTTCTCCCGTTGCAAACAACACATTAATCCGATTCGAACGCCCGTACACTTAATATTATTATTATTATAATTATTATTATTAAGATTCACGTGAGTCTTCTTCGTCTAACATTCAGGTTACGAGAATACCAGGAAAACACCTGCCAGGTTGCCTCAAAAAAAAAAAAAAAAAAAAAACATTTCCTACTACGATAGTCAAAATGGTATCAACGCTCCTTCCAAAAACAAATTTTTTAAATTTAAAAAAAAAAATTAACGGTTTTTTTTTTTTTTTGTTTCACATTACGATTTATCATAAAAATTATTTCAAATTATTGCCTTTGAGAATGTTGAGGGGAGGGGGGGGGGAAAGTAGCAGAAGAAAAAAAAAACTCACGTGATAAATTATATGTAATTCGCTCGAAAAAAATTTTTTTGCATTCAACAAGTGCGCGCAAAGTTAAAGATATTCGTATACTTAAAAAACCGAAGCAAAACCTTCATCTTATCCTCTTCTGCCCCCCGCCCCCCATCACCCCTCCAATCGTCAGAGATGGAGAAGGGGGAGGAGAGGGGAAGAGAGAAATATATTAAGAAACAGGTAAATAAATTAACACTTGTGTGTGATGAATTAACGTCTCTCCTCTTCACGTCATTATACTTTTTATTAATGATCATTTTCTGCTTCGAACGTGTAAAGAAAAAAAAAAAAAAAAAAAAAAACTCGCGAGCACAATTCGAACGCTTGTAAACGTGTTTTCGCGTTTGACCTCATATCGAAAACCCTCTCTTCTCCCTTCCCCCCTCCGTTCGCGCCTTATCATTCATTATCATCGCGTTTTTTAATAACAGGAATAAAATTAACAACAGTGCTACCAACATTACCATTAACGTAACGCCTCCCCTCTCCTCCCTTCCTCCTTGTTTCGAAAACGAAATTTTTACACACACAAAATTACTGCAATTATCATTTTCATTATTAATATTATTATCGTTGTTATTATTATTATTATTAATTATCTTACTAATTGTTATTCATTATTCGCCATGATAATAATAATAATAATAATAAACGATTGAGAGAGGGATTTATTAACGGACGGTGATTCGTATGTTTTGTATTTAAAAAAAAAAAAAAAAACGCGAAAACGATTTCGCGGGTCAACGCGAAAAAAAATGTTTCGAAACAATTTTGTTGTTGTGTCGAAACAATCTTCGAATAACCCCTCTCCTTCCCCCCTCAAAATCTCATTTTGAAACGAGAGTTTCTACCTCGGCGAAAATAGAATAAGAAAAATGAAAAAAAGGTCGGTCGATGATTATTAAGACGACGATTCGCGATGACTGACACAAATAATCAATCAATCAATCATTCAATCGATGAAATTTTAAAAATAATAATAATAATAATAATAAACGATCATTTGGAAAACCGTAAATCGATCCGTTAATAATAATAATAATAATAATTTTTTTTTACCTGTTGTGAGGAGGGTAGAGGCGGAGGAGAAACGATTCGCATTAGTAAAGTTTACCGACGCGTTCGGACGAAAAACGTTCGTGAAAGAGAAAGAAAGAAAGACAGAGAGAGAGAGAGAGAGAGTGAGATGGATCAATGAGAGAGAAAATGAAATGGCGATATAAAAAAAAAAAAAAAAGTAATAATGGAGTCGAATAATAAAATAATAAAAAAAAAAAAAAAAAATTAATTTTTTCCTTTTTTGTTTTTTCCTCCCTACGATTTCTAGCAAAAATTCGTGTCTGGAATTTCGACAAAAAAAAAAAAAAAAAAAAAAAAAAGATGTCTGACAATCGATATACGAAACGATAAAAATCTCGACATACCGGAAATAATCACCTTAACGAATCGTTTATATAAATTTGTACTCACGGAATGTCCAAATTGTCCGCGTGTAAGGAAGACAAATTGGGATTTTTCGATGGTTTATCGTCATCGTCGCTGCTCTCCGATATGACCAAATCATCTTCCAGATCTCTGAAAAATCAAAAAAACAATAATAATAATAATAATAACAATAACATAAATAAATAAACATTTTTTTTCAAAAGGAAAATGAAAGGAAAAGAATCAAACGGATTAGAAAAAAAAAAAAATGGCGGTTAACGTTCGTTCAATTGTGATCCGTTTGCATGTTTTTCACTTACAAATGAAATGAAAACGCGGCGGAAATCGAGAAAAAAAAAAAAACGCCTTTGTTATAATAAACATTAACCATTTTCCACCATTGTCGCATTTACGCGTTTGTTACAACAAAAAAAAACATCCTGGAGAAAAGGCAGACTGGAGAAGAGAAAAAAAGAAAAAAAGAAAATATTTTTTTTTTTTTATCTTAACTCGTTTCTTTCACTTTTTTTTTATTTATTTTCTTTCTCTCTCTCTTTCCTTCCTTCGAATTTTCCCATATTTTTCCCCTCCTCTTCCCCTCTCTTTTTTCCCTTTACCCTCCTCCTTCTCCTCCCCCTCCCCCCTTTTTTTTTTCAAGTGCATTTATCGTAGAGTAATGACGTCACCAACATGTTCCGTATCGATCAACGCAGATTTTTAAGCGCGTCTCCGATTTCCGCGCTTTCGGTTCAATAACGAAAACAAAAAAAAAAAAAAAAAAAAAAAAAAAAAAAAAAAAAACGTCGTCCCGCTTTTTTTTTTCTACTACGCACACCAACCGCTTCAAATTTTACAAATAATAATAATAATAATAATAATAATAATAATAATAATAATAATAATTACATTTATTATTAAATAAATAAATAAATAAATTGATAAGTAAAAAAAAAAGAGAGAGAGAGAGAGAGAGAAAATGGAAAATGATAAGCGTTTACCTCCTCCTTCTCGCTTTTCCCTTATATCTTTTAAGAACGTTATTAATAATAATAAAAATAATAATAATAATAAATAAATAAAAAACAAAATGGTTTGGTAATAAAACGGATCACCGATAGAGGGTGTGAAAAGTTGGCAATCGAGAAATTTTTTTTTTTTGGGGGAGAGAGAGAGAGAGAGAGAGAGAAAAAAATGGCAGCGGAGAAAGAAGGGGAAAAAAGAGAGAAACTAAGGGGAAATAATACATCACCGAGAGAGAGTTTTTTTTAAATGTATATCGTTTCGTTATTATAAATCAAAAAAAAAAATTATTATTACAATGCTTAACCGGAAACTCTCTCTCTCTCCCCTTGCCCCGACTTTATAAAAAAAAAAAAAACGTGTAAGTAGCCGTAAAAAAAAAAAAAAAGGACGCCATTAAAAAATTACAACAGGTTTTTTAAAAAAAGAGAGAGAGACGAAAAAAAAAAGAAACAGAGAAAATTAACAACCAACTGTTGTTGTTGTTGTTTTTTTGTGTTTCTGTTTGTTTTTTTGCGTTTTAAATTTCCGATCGATATTTTCATTATGTTTAAATTATCATTATCATTATCATTATTATTTTTTCTTGGCTTCCGCCACGGATTTAAAAAATATTAAAAAAGTTTTTTTTTTTTAAATTCGAATTTCGTCGACTTCCTGTTTTCACAAAAAATTGACACACCGCCTTCAAATAATAAACAACGATGACGATGACGACATCATCATCATCATCATCATCATTATTATTACCATTACGCAATATGGATATGAAAAAGAGGAAGAGAAGGCGGTGGTTGGTGAAGAGGAGGAACGAAAAAAAAAAAAAAAAGAGCTTAACCTACATCGCGAATACACATTCCATTTTTTTATTTATTTATTTTCCTTATCGCAAACGTTTACCCCTGTCCTCTCCCCCCCCCAAAAAAAAATTACAATATCGATTTTTAATTTTTTCTAACTCCACGACAATAATTACGCAGATGGTTTTTTTTTTTTTTTTTTTACATACGACGCGAAACGATATTGCTTTTAATTCTCGCGAAGGAAAATGGAAAAAAATTTTTCACCGTCCTTCCTCCATCTTTTCCCCCCCCTTCATCCCCGTTAATAATAATAATAATAATAATAATAATAATAATAATAATAATAATAATAATAATAATAATGATAATGACTTGATGCGTCCGTCGTTATTTACGGTTCATAAATCAAACAATTTAAATTTTTAAAACACCTTTTTTACATGTACACACACACACCTCTTTTAACAATCGTAATAAAATAATTCCGTGAGAAAAAATTTATTAGGAAAACGAAGGAAAAGAGAGAGAGAGGGAGAGAGGAAGGAAGGGAAGTGAAAGGTACAGACAAAGAGAGACAGAGAGAGAGAGAGAAAAAGGTTTATTGTGGAAAAACGCTTTGTTTGATATTTGTTTATACTACATACCCTCTTTGATTGCCTAGAGCACGTTCGCTCGACGAACTGACCGTACGTTCTGAAAAAAAATAAAAAAATTAAAATTAATAAATAATTCACGTTAATAATAATAATAATAATAATAATAATAATAATAATAATAATAATAATAATAATAATAATAAATAATTCTCGTACGAATGTGAGAGAGA